TATGATATCATGCTACAAGAGAAAGATTATCCTCTTCTCTGACCTGACTCAGGAAATTAGAATCTTCAGTTTAGTCAATACTGTGATGTAGCAGTCACAGTTGATGGTTTGTTTGAGTTCCAAGAAATGCAGAAGGACCACTCCTTTCCTATCCCAAAAGACACATCGCTTTAACAGGTGAGGACTGCATATTGAATTTTTCCACCTGTTGCCAGTCCATGGACTGCTGTTGTGACTCTAGCTTGTAGCGGTGATACCATGATACCACACCATAAGATTCTATTCAGAAAAAAATTCGGCTTCTTACTGGTTCAGTAGGTCCTGACAAAGTTACATACAGTGTTCAGTCTATTCTTTATGTGAGCATCTGTGGAACTCACCTGGTGCAAACTTTTCAATATTCCAATGTTGTGACCATCATTTCCAACTCAGTGAAGCCAGTATTCAGTTATGCACAGAGTTCCCTACTTGTAATCCACTGATTTCTATGGATGAGCTAATTGAGATGCTCTTCATTTCATGGTGTGACATCTGCATGTAGCTGACCAGAACATGGTTCATCTCACATTTCTGTTGCGACAACTGAAATACCCCACCCACTGCCTCACGGTACTCACATCCACTATTTGGTCTCCATGAACATTAAGCAAGAATGGATAAATGTCAATGAGTGCTATTTTTTTTATATTTTTTATTTTTTTTTCCTGTATAGAGGAATTAAATGACACCTTTGCTCCATACACAGTTCCATGTCAGGTGCCATTCTGCCAGACTGCCTCTCTGTGGCCATCTGTCACACAGCAACAACATGTAATAGAATATTGGTGAGAAAGTGCAACCTCTACTTCCATATCACCATCTGCCTCCAATGTCATGGGCCATCATAATAAAATAGGAGGCGTTACTTTCAGAGCAGCCCTTTTAACAATGGTAGAGTGAGACATTTTTCTAGAAATAGCTGCTAAACTTATTTCATCCTTAGGAGTACCTTTCCATAAGTGCTTCCTACTCTATTTTTTCTTTCAGATGTTTTTACCAAAACATCTAATTTAATCTTTTTTATTCTTTGGTCTTCAAGCCACCAACGTTTACTGTTTTTTTTTAATTTCTCATTCAGTATATATAATATATTTATATCTGCATCTTACATAATGCAATAAGAATTATATATGAAAAATGGAGAAATTGCAAAATGGCTTTTGGAACATTCAGTTTTTTATATGTAACAAGAAAAAAAAAGTGGTCAGAAAAGTTAAATTAATAGTATTAGCATTCAAATATGCTTGTGAAAAAAAAAATCTGAATTAGATATTCATTTATGTTCTTTTTAATTTTTTTAATTTTTTTTTTTTTTTAATTATTTGTCTAATTCAATGAGGAGAAAATCTGTGGTATTTTTTATTTGTTTCGTTTTTTACTTATATGAAAATCCTAATTTGCATTGTTTCTTATCCAGAACTCAAAACTCACAGTACAACACTATCAACATGGTTAAAACTAAGCTTTCTGTACATGATTTAAGCACCTTACCCATTTAAGTGAATTAGCAGGCAGCCAGCATTTTTGTCAAGTAGGATATAACAAAATGTGAAGACTAAAAATTTGAAGCAGAATATACTATATCAGACTGTTTTACTTTAAGCATACGATGTGTACTCATTCTATTCTATAAAACAACTAAGGAATACATTCTGAATTCCAAATTGAAAGCACAGAATATATGCTACAAAACACATGGAAACTTTATTTTCAGGGTTAGAGCTGAACAACTCATTTATTTAATTGTAATACAGCATTATTATGCACAGTTTTTGCAATTGCTATCCAGATTCACAGAGACATGTTTCAATATGTGTTATGTTTTTTTGAGGGTAGATGTAAGTTGGATATAATTTGAAAAGCAGCAGATGAAATCACAGAACTGCAGAATAGCTCAAGTTGGAAGGGGCACCGCTTCCTCAAACCCAATCCAATTAGGTCAGGGTAATCAGAGACTTGTCCAAACTGGAGATTTAATATCTCTGATTATGGAATTTCCACAGCTTCTCTGGGGAGTCCTTTTCCAGATTTGATTGTCTGCATAGCAAAGAAGGTTTTTCTTTTCTGCTGACATATTTTTTGAATGTTCCAGCCTGTGTCTTATCACTCTGAATCTTTGAGAGGAGTTCTGTTTTGTCTTCTTTACTGTCTCCTATTACTTAGCTGTAATAGCAATGAGACCTCCCATTATCTTTCTTTTCTCCATCCATTTCTCCAACCTTTTAATCTTAGTTTCTTCTCACATAGCCCTAGACCATTCAGACAGCTTCTGTTTAATCACTCCAATGTATTCATGTATTTAGTGTACTGGGAAAACCAGTACTGAACACAAGATACAAACTCAGAGCTAAACTGAGGGAAAGAGTCATTTTCTTGTCCTGTTGGCTATATTCTTGCTAATAAAGCCCAGGATGCTGTTGGTGTTCTTTACTGTAAGGAAACATTGCTTGTTTATTGTGAATGTGTTGTCCACCTTCAGACAATTTTCTAGTGATCCACTTTACATCTACCAAAATGCAGTATGTTATTCCTCTCTGGGTACGAGATGTGGCTCTACCCTGGTTGAACATTGGCAGTTTCCTGTAAACTTGTTTCTCTGTCTTACAAAGAACCTCATGAGTAGCAGACCTAACCTTTAACTTTTCAACTGATCCCTGTAATTTGGCATAATCCACAAAGTTGTTGAGTACATACTTTCTCCTATTATATGTTTTTGAGATTTTTGAGATTTTTGAGAAACCTGGCTTATGAGTCAGTGAATGTGGATGTGATGCTTGTCTTTACTTTAATCATAAAGAGTCTCTTGTCAGCCTGGTGGTGGAGCTTAGGGAGGAGGTAGAGAGTTTAAGAACCATTAGAGAGTGTGAGAGGGATATAGACTGGTGGTGTGAATCTTTGCAAGAAAGGAGCAGAGATTGCAACCCACAAATTGTAATGGACCCTCTCCCTTGCCATGGTCAAACCAAGAGAGCCAACTTGAGAAGAGAGGAGGAATGGCAACAGGTCCACTTCAGTGATGCAGGCGATGCCCATCCCGATCTATCTTGGATCCTCAGGTGCCTCTACGTAATAGGTTTGAAGCCCTGAAACTGGAGGGTGAGGTGCCTGAGAATGAAGTGAAGGGATAGACTTCAAGCTTTTTTAAGGAGAGGCAGTTAGCTCCAGCCTGAAGACTGACAGTCATAGGTTACTCCTTTCTAAAATGAACCAAGGGCCCAATAAGTCAGCCTGACCATACCCACAGAGAAGTGTGCTGCCTCTCTAGGGCACAGATCAGGGATATCTCTAGAAAGCTTCCTGGTCTTATTCACCCATCTGATTACTATCCCTTTTTGGTAGTTCAGGTTGTCAGTGATGAGGCTGCAGAGAAATGCCTGAGGGCTATCAAAAATGACTTCAAGGGCCTGGGGAGGGTACTTGATGGAGCGGGTGTACAGGTGGTTTTCTCTTCTATCCCTTCAGAGGCCGGGAAGGATACTGAGAGGATTAAAAAAGCCCTCCTCATAAATAAATGGCTCAGAGGTTGGTGCAGGCACAAGAATTTGGGGCTTTTTTGACCATGGCACAATTTACTCGGCACCTGGTATGACAGCTGCAGATGGAACTCACCGGTCTGCAAGGGGTAAAAGGATCCTAGCATAGGAACTGGCAGGACTCATTGAGAAGTGTTTAAACTAGCAAAGAAGGAAGAAGAGGGCAAAATGAGGGCCACTGGGGTTGAGTGGGTAATTCAAGGCTCAAATCAGAGCTTGGTGGGTAATGAGGTTGGAGTTCAAAGGAGTGGAGAGGAGCAGGGGGATACTGCTTCCCTAAAGTGTCTATACACTAATGCACGCAGTATGGGAAATAAACAGGAGGAGATGGAGATCTGTGTGCAGTCGCACAGCCATGATCTCATTGCAATCATGGAGATGTTATGGGAGGGCTATGTGCTTTTTAGAAAAGATTTAGAAAAGGTGGGGTGGTGGAGTTGCTCTTTATGTGAGAGAGCAGTTAGAATGTGTTGAACTCCACTTGGGGGAGAGTGGTGTAGCAGTGGAGAGCTTGTGGGGTGAGAATCAAGGGGCAGGTTGGTATGGCTGACACTGCTGTGGGTGTGTGCTACAGGCCCCCTGATCAGGAGGAGGAGGTTGATGAGGCCTTCCATAAGCAACTGGAAGTAACATCATGATCCCAGGTGCTGGTGCTCATGGGGGAGTTCAGTTATCCAGATATTTGCTGGATAAGCAACATGGCCAGGTACACACGGTCCAGACAGTTCCTGCAGTGTGTTGAAGACAACTGTCTGATGCAGGTGGTGGAGGAACCAACAAGGCGAGGGGTGTTGCTGGACCTTATTCTCACTAATAAATAAAGACTTGTCAAGGAATTAAAAGTTGGGGGCAGCTTGGGTTGTAGCAACCACAAGATGGTGGAATTCAAGATCATGAGTGGAAAAAGCAAAGCAAAAAGTAGGATTGCTACCCTGGACTTTAGAAGATCCAACTTTGATGTCTTCCAGGACATACTTGGAGCCGTCCCAGGGAAGAGGCGATCCAAGAGTACCTAGGCAACACCGATGTTCATAAATACATGGGATCCAATGGGATGCATCTATGGGAGCTGAGGGAGCTGGCAGAGGTGACTGCTGAACTGCTCTCTATCATCTTTGAGAGGTCTTGGAGAATGGGGGAGACTGGAGGATAGCCAATGTGTCATGGTTTTATGATTTTTGGTCATCAGTATTCCACACCATAACATCATGTAATGCACTGGGGGTGGGGTTTGATATCTGCCGAATGTTCGTCCGTCGGAGAAGAACTACATTTCCCCAGGAGGCTTTGCGGTCAGCAAGGGGATATAACTCCATGCAAGGTCACCTGAGCCTTCTTCTTCGCCTGCGCTTCGCTGTCTGCGCTTCGCTATCTGCGCTTCGCCGCCTGCGCTTCGCCGCCTGCGTTTTGCCATCTGCACTTCGCCGTCTGTACTTCAGTCACTCAACTGGACTGCACTTCTCACCCCAGGATTGTGGTGAGGTCTATACAATTCAAACAGACTCTCTCTCTCTCTCTCTCTTTGTAGTTTACTAATACTATATTTAGTAAAATCATTTGTTCCACCTCAGATCAGTGCTGTTGTTTTTTCAAGTATTTTGGGGTCCCCTGCTTCCCCTTTCCCAGAGGTGCGGATCCGCAGATCCCTCCGCCCTGCTGGTCACGGAACTGGGCCGGACCAGCCCATAAACCGTTGACATTTTTGGTGGAGAATGCGGGCAGCAGTTGCTTTCTAGCTGTTTAGACTCTGCTCTCGGAGAGTTCCGTTGGTAAAGCTTATCTGTTTCACTGGTACTCTCTAAAAAACGTGACCTTGAAAACTCCAGGCGGACTGCCAGTATCGTAGGATATTTGTAAACTCAGAGCTTTACTATCTCGCCTCTGTAAAAAAAAAAAAAAAAAAAAAATGCTTTCTGTAGTGAAACTTACTTTTAAAGGGCTGCACGCTGCTGCCTCTTCTTTCCTAATGCTCAAAACATACTGGGCATTAATTAAGCTTGCCACCTTGCTCTATGGAGCAATCGGCATATACAATCAAATGAAAACATGGGTGGAAATATGGACCTGGCACGTTCGTACAATGTGGCTTACAATTCCGGAGACAGCTGCCAATTTTACAGGACTGGGATTTTTTAAGGTTTCCAGTCTCACCTTTCAGCCTGTAATGCAGTTTCTGAATGAACACCTAGTCGCATTACTAATCTCCCTGAATGTATTGCTCATCGTTTCGCTCAGTATTAGTATTTATTATATTTTGAGGATATCCTCCCCAAAACCAGAGAATACTGAGTGGCAGGGAGTGTGGAGAGGTCTGGGAAAGACTTTAGACAGATGGAAATCTTCAGTCTCATGGAACTTTACTCCAGAACACCTGAAAGACCCTGAGATTCTAAACAGCTATTTAAGGCAGGAATGTTGCGGTTTGGGCAGTTCTGAGGAGGCACATATGATTTGGGGCCTGGCTAATGCTTATCGGGCCTTATTCAATACTATCCTGGAGAGAGAAAGAGCTTCTGAAATTGAAAGGGAGAGCCTCAGGGAAAAAGTTCAAAATGAGCGAGAGAGTCTCCTGCTCCAGAGGAAAAACCTCCGATCTGAGAGAGATGCCCTCCGAATTGAAAGAGACTCCCTGCAGTCCAAACTCGACAATCTTAAATCTCAACAACACACCCTCCAATATGAGCTAGATACTGTCATAATCGAACGAAACAAGCTCCAAGCTGAACTGGAGGATGAGAGCATTGGAACCGACCAACTTGATCAACCACAAGAGGCACCACAATCGATGTCAGTTGCCCCTGTAAGAGGACGAAAAACAAAGCGAATCTCGACTCAGTTAGAAGAGAAGAAAGAGGAGGAAAGAGGTCCAGAGGAGTGGCTCCGAGGTCCAAGAGAAGCACCTCTGAGTCCAGGGGAGGGACCCTCAGTAAGACCACGGTCACCAACACCTACAAGGGCAAGAAGTCCTGGAAGAGCAAGAGGTGAGCAAGATATTGTTACTTTTGTGGATCGATCTCTGAAAATGAATGAAATTCGAAGTCTGAGAAAAGACTTCTCACGCCACCCAAATGAGCCTATTGCTACTTGGTTACTTCGATGCTGGGACAATGGGGCCAACAGTGTGTGGCTAGATAGTAGAGAAGCTCGCCAATTGGGTGGCATTGCTAGGGACTCCGCCATTGACAGAGGTATTAGTACATGCCAGAACCAGGCTTTCACCCTCTGGAAGAGGATGCTGTTAGCTGTAAGAGAAAGTTACCCCTTCAAAGACGATCTGATGCCCGAGAAGAAGAAATGGGCTGATATGGAGGAAGGCATCCGTTATTTGAGAGAATGTGCTGTGGTGGAAACACTACATAGCCCTGATTTCATTCCTGATGAGCCAAATCAAGAGCATGATCCTGAGAGGGCCAGGTGTACACCAAATATGTGGCGTACGTTCACGAAGACTGCACCAGAAAGGTACGCCAGTACATTGGCAGCTATGTATGGCAGAGGGGAAAGAAGACCCCTTATAAATGAATTGGTTAATAAGCTTCAAGACTTTGAGTTACATTTAAGCCCTCTACGAGCTTGTGTTTCAGCCATTGAAAAAGTAGCTGAAAAGCTGGACAGAATGGAAAACAAACAAGAAGATATAATAGATAAACTATCAATTGTGCCTGATGCCGATGAATACATGGTGGTCACAGATACATCTAATGAGGAACAGAATTCCCAAAACAGCCTACTTGAGGGGCTGATCAACTTGGTTTCCTCCCAGCCGGTGTCATCCAACATCTCAGCTATCAAAAGAAGACGTCCTCCTGCTCGAACAAGTGACAACAGTAAGACCACGTCACGTTTTGTCTTGTGGCATTACCTACGCGACCATGGAGAAGATATGAAGAAGTGGCATAAGCAACCCACTCCTGCACTTCAAGCACGGGTAAAAGAGCTACAAGACAAATCAGCCACCAAGGTGAACTTCTCCAGAAAGGTAATTGCTCCAGTTGCTGCAGACAACAGAGGTAACAAATAGAGGGGCCCTGCCCCCAGCCAGGGGGGGGAAAGGGATAATAGAGTTTATTGGACTGTGTGGATTAGATGGCCTGGTACATCAGAACCACAGAAATATAAGGCCCTAGTTGATACTGGTGCACAGTGCACTCTAATGCCCTCGAGTCACCAAGGGACAAAATCAATTTATATTCATGGGGTGACAGGAGGTTCCCAAGAACTGACTATGTTGGAGGCCGAAATCAGCCTCACTGGTGAAGACTGGCAAAAGCACCCTATTGTTACTGGCCCAGGGGCTCCATGTATACTTGGTATTGATTACCTCAAAAGGGGATATTTTAAGGATCCCAAAGGGTATCGATGGGCCTTTGGAATAGCTGCTGTAGACACAGAAGGTGCTAAGCAGTTATCTGCTTTGCCTGGCCTATCAGAAGATCCGTCTGTTGTGGGGTTGCTACGAGTAGAAGAGCAACAGGTACCGATAGCTACAAAAACAGTGCACAGACGGCAGTACCGCACCAACAGGGATTCCTTGCTCCCCATTCAGAAGTTAATTCATCAATTAGAGAACCAGGGAGTGATCAGCAAAACTCACTCGCCTTTTAACAGCCCCATATGGCCAGTGCGTAAAGCCAGTGGAGAATGGAGGCTGACGGTGGACTACCGTGGCCTGAATGAAGTCACACCCTCATGGAGTGCTGCTGTGCCAGATATGTTAGAACTCCAATACGAACTGGAGTCAAAAGCAGATAAGTGGTATGCCACCATTGACATTGCTAATGCCTTTTTCTCCATTCCTTTGGCCAAAGAATGTAGGCCACAGTTTGCTTTCACATGGAGGGGCATTCAGTATACCTGGAACCGTTTGCCCCAGGGGTGGAAACACAGCCCGACCATTTGCCATGGGTTGATCCAAGCTGCACTGGAACAGGGAGGTGCTCCTGAGCACCTGCAGTACATTGATGACATCATTGTGTGGGGCAACACAGCAAAGGAAGTTTTTGAGAAAGGAGAGCAAATAATCCAGATCCTTCTCCATGCTGGTTTTGCTATTAAGCGAAGCAAAGTGAAAGGACCTGCCCAGGAAATTCAGTTCCTAGGCATAAAGTGGCAAGATGGCCGTCGTCACATCCCAACAGATGTGATTGACAAAATCACTGCCATGTCTTCCCCCACTAATAAGAAAGAGACACAATCGTTTCTGGGCGTAGTGGGTTTTTGGAGAATGCATGTTCCAAACTACAGCCTCATTGTAAGCCCACTTTATCAGGTGACACGGAAGAAGAATGATTTTGTGTGGGGTCCTGAGCAGCAGCAGGCTTTTGAGCAGATTAAACAGGAGATAGCCCGTGCTGTGGCCCTGGGGCCAGTACGGATAGAACAGGATGTGAAGAACATCCTCTACACTGCTGCTGGAGAGAAAGGCCCCACTTGGAGTTTGTGGCAAAGAGCATCAGGAGAGACCCGAGGCCGACCCTTGGGATTCTGGAGTCGAGCCTACAGGGGGTCGGAGGAGGGCTACACTCCAACTGAGAAGGAGATCTTAGCTGCATATGAGGGGGTTCGGGCTGCTTCCGAAGTAGTCGGTACTGAAACACAGCTCCTTCTGGCACCTCGACTGCCAGTGTTGAACTGGATGTTCAAGGGAAAGGTTCCTTCCACCCATCATGCCACTGATGCCACTTGGAGTAAGTGGATTGCACTGATTACACAACGAGCACGGATAGGGAACCTCAGCCGTCCAGGAATCCTAGAGGTCATCATGGACTGGCCTGAAGGTAAAAAGTTTGGAACACCACCAGCAGAAGAAGTATCACGTGCTAAAGAAGCCCCACCATACAATGAACTACCAGAGAATGAAAAGAAATATGCCCTATTCACAGATGGATCGTGTCGTATTGTGGGAAAGCATCGATGATGGAAATCTGCTGTGTGGAGCCCCACACGACAAGTTGCAGAGGCCACTGAAGGGAAAGGAGAATCAAGCCAATTTGCAGAGGTAAAGGCTGTCCAACTGGCCTTAGATGTTGCTGAACGGGAGAGGTGGCCAATGCTCTATCTCTACACTGACTCATGGATGGTAGCAAATGCCTTATGGGGGTGGTTACAGCAGTGGGAGCAAAATAACTGGCAAAGAAAGGGCAAGCCTATTTGGGCTGCTGACCTATGGAAAGATATTGCTACCCGAACAAAAAATATGGTTATAAAGGTGCGTCATGTAGATGCTCATGTGCCCAAGAGTAGAGCTACAGAAGATCAGCGAAATAACCATCAGGTAGACCAAGCTGCCAGAATTGAGGTGGCTCAAATAGACCTGGACTGGCAGAACAAGGGTGAATTATTTCTAGCTCGGTGGGCCCATGAGACCTCAGGTCATCAAGGAAGAGACGCAACATACAAATGGGCCAGAGACCGAGGGGTGGACTTAACTATGGATGCCATTGTACAAATCATTCATGACTGTGATACATGCGCCACAATTAAACAAGCTAAGAGGATGAAACCTCTCTGGGAGGAAGGGCGATGGCAAAAGTACAAATATGGGGAGGCATGGCAGGTTGATTATATCACCTTGCCACGATCTCGCAATGGTAAGCATTATGTGCTCACCATGGTGGAGGCAACAACCGGGTGGCTTGAAACATATGCAGTACCCCATGCTACCGCCCGAAACACCATATTAGGTCTGGAGAGGCAAATCCTGTGGCGACATGGCACCCCAGAAAGGATTGAGTCAGATAATGGGACTCATTTTAAAAATTCACTTGTGGATACTTGGGCCAGAGAACATGGCATCGAGTGGATTTATCATATCCCCTATCATGCACCAGCCTCTGGTAAGATCGAACGCTACAACGGGTTGTTAAAAACCATGTTGAAAGCAATGGGTGGCGGAACATTTAAACACTGGGAGAAGCACTTGGCAGAAGCCACCTGGCTGGTTAACACCAGAGGATCAATCAGTCGAGATGGTCCTACCCAATCCAGCTCCCTACATATTGTAGAGGGAGATAAGGTCCCTGTAGTACATGTAAAGAACATGTTAGGAAAAGCAGTTTGGGTTTTTCCTCCTTCTGGGAAGGGCAAACCTCTTCGCGGAACTGTCTTTGCCCAGGGACCTGGGTCCACCTGGTGGGTGATGCAGAAAAACGGGGATGTTCAGTGTGTACCACAAGGGAATTTGATGTTGGGGAATGCAGTCTGTAATCCCATGTGTTAAGCATGATGTAGTGATGTAGAATAAGGGGTGGAATGTCATGGTTTTATGATTTTTGGTCATCAGTATTCCACACCATAACATCATGTAATGCACTGGGGGTGGGGTTTGATATCTGCCGAATGTTCATCCGTCGGAGAAGAACTACATTTCCCCAGGAGGCTTTGCGGTCAGCAAGGGGATATAACTCCATGCAAGGTCACCTGAGCCTTCTTCTTCGCCTGCGCTTCGCTGTCTGCGCTTCGCTGTCTGCGCTTCGCTATCTGCGCTTCGCCGCCTGCGCTTTGCCGCCTGCGTTTTGCCATCTGCACTTCGCCGTCTGTACTTCAGTCACTCAACTGGACTGCACTTCTCACCCCAGGATTGTGGTGAGGTCTATACAATTCAAACAGACTCTCTCTCTCTCTCTCTCTTTGTAGTTTACTAATACTATATTTAGTAAAATCATTTGTTCCACCTCAGATCAGTGCTGTTGTTTTTTCAAGTATTTTGGGGTCCCCTGCTTCCCCTTTCCCAGAGGTGCGGATCCGCAGATCCCTCCGCCCTGCTGGTCACGGAACTGGGCCGGACCAGCCCATAAACCGTTGACACCAATGTCACTATGGTCTTCAAAAAGGGCAAGAAGAAAGATCCAGGTAATTACAGGCCAGTCAGCCTCACCTCTGTCCCTGGAAAGGTGACAAGTGGAAGAAAAGGAGGTTATCAGGAGTAGTCAGCATGGGTTCACCAGGGCAAGTCATGCTTGACCAACATGGTAGCCTTCTATGATGTTGTCACTGGCTGGGTGGATGAGCAATGGTGGGAGGAGAGCAGTGGATGCAGTCTACCTTGATTTCAGCGAGGCATTTGATACTATCTCCCATGACATCCTTATAACAAAGCTGAGGAAGTGTGGGATAGATGGGTGGACAATGAGGTGGGTTGAGAACTGACTGACTGGCAGAGCACAGAGGGTCGTCGTTGGTGGTGCAGAGTCTGGTTGGAGACCTGTAACCAGTGGTGTTCCTCAGAGGTTGATGCTGGGCCCAGTCTTGTTCAACATCTTCATCAATGACCTTGATGAGGGGATAGTGGCCACCCTCAGCAAGTTTTCTGAAGTTGGGAGGATTGGCTGACATGCCTGAAGGCCATGCTGCCATTCAGCGAAACCTGGACAGGTTGGAGAGCTGGGCAGTAAGAAACCAGATGAGGTTTAACAAAAGCAAGTGTAGAGTCTTGCATCTAGGGAGGATTAATTGCATGCACCGGTACAGGTTGGGGGATGACCTGCTGGAGAGGAGCTCTGCGGAGAGGGACCTGGGTGTCCTGGTGGCCGACAGGTTGGCCATGAGCCAGCAGTGTGCCCTTGTGGCCAAGAGGGCCAGTGGCATTCTGGGGTGCATTAGAGAGAGCGTGGCCAGCAGGTGGAGGAAGGTGATCCTCCCCCTCTTCTCTGCCCTGGTAAATCCTCATCTGGAATACTGTGTCCAGTTCTGGACTCCCCAGTACAAAAAAGACAGGGATCTCCTGGAAAGAGTCCAGCAGAGGGCCACAAAGACGGTGAAGGGCCTCTCCTCTATGAAGAAAGACTAAAGTGAACTGGGTCTGTTTAGCCTTGAGAAAAAAAGACTGAGAGGGGACCTGATCCAAGTCTATAAATATCTAAGGTGTGGGGGGCAGAGTGGTGAGGCCAGATTCTTTTCAGCGGTGTGTGGAGACAGGACAAGGGGAAACGGCCAGAAACTGCAGCATAGGAAGTTCCGCACAGATGTGCGCAAGAACTTCTTTACAGTGAGGGTGACGGAGCACTGGAACAGGCTGCCAGGGAGGTTGTGGAGTCTCCTTCTCTGAAGATATTCAAGGCCTGCCCGTACACCTACTTGTGCAACCTGGTGTAGGGAACCTGCTTTGGCAGGGGGCTTGGACTAGATGATCTCTGGAGGTCCCTTCCAAGTTCTATGATTCTATGATTCTGTGATTCTGTGATTCTGTGATTCTGTGATTATGTCATTGCCTAAAACTTCCAAAGGGACTAGAAAACTTATTTTGATGACTTTGGACATCTTCCTCAATGATATTACATGCATCCTGTCTGATCATTGGGAATTCTTAAGTCCAATTTACATAAGCACTCCCAAAGTTGATATACTTACAGTGGGAGCAGTTTCACTTTCACGGGCTCTGCAAGTAAGCTCTGCAAGGAAGGCCTGAGAGCAGACCTTGTCGATGAAAACTAAGGCTAAAAAATCACTGAGTAATTCTGCTTTTGCCATTGTCACAAGGTCACCTGTTTCAGTAAGCAACAGGGTACCATGTTACCAACTATTATCAATTATTCACTTGCGCTTAGTTATGCTTAGTTATTCTCTAAGCAACAGGGTACAATATGATACTCACATAGTGATATGCTCAAGTTCTGCCCTGATGCCTGCTTAGATGAACTGCAAGAGCTAATAGTCTCAGGACTGGAAAGACCTTAACAATCTCTCAGGGGCGTTCCATATCTTACCACCCACAAAATAGCAAATCTCCTGAGACATCACATCAGGCTAGCAGATGGTTGCTCCCATCCCATTCAGGACAAACTTTCCGGTCATTATCATTTGTATCAGTAGTTCATACACATGCCTGAGCCACAGCTGTCACTGGTGCTTCCAATCTCAGAACAAGACTTCACTGAGGCTTTTCAATATTATAAAGAATTTCATAAACAGATGGAGAAGCCCCTCTTACATGATCTAATAGCTATAGAGCAAGAGTTGGTCATTTAAAACTAAAGAGATTTAGTTTAGATACTAGGAGTCAATTCTTTACAAAACAGAGATTGGTGAGTCACTGGATTAAGTTTCACAGAGAAATTGTGAATGCCCTGTCTGGAACAATTCAAGGTCATGTAGGATGGGGCTTTTAGCAACCTGATCTAATGGGATTTGTCCCTGCTATGGCAAGGGTTGGAATTAGGTGATGTTTATGGTCCTGTGAAGCCCAAGCTATTATTTGATTCTATGATGTGATTCTCTATCTCTTCTGAAACTGCAGATATGCAGTAAAAATGGAATTCTCGAACTGCTGCCAGAAGACACATACTTCTTGTCTTTCCTGTCATTCCTCTATTGCTCCTTTCATCAAGGTCTCTGCCTCTGATTTATTCCTTGCAGCATGGAGCTCAGTCTTTATTTTCTGCAGGGTGATTGTTTCTGCACAGATATTCTTGATCTACATTCTCAGTCAACATGCATTGTGAGCTAACTCCTTTTACTGTATCTGGATGGAATGAACATAACTTTACTCACAACAGCCCATATAGTGTTATGCATTTTATTCATAGATAGAAAAACATAGATAGCATACCAGTGTTTTGGTTATTGCTGAGCACTGCTTTCACATCATCAAGGCTGTCTCTCTAGGCTCTTTGTCTCTTCTTGCAAAAGCCAGTAAGCTGTGTCTAGTCAAGAGGTGGAACAGGGACATACCTAGGAGAGCTGACCCAAAACGACCAAATGGATATTTTGTACTTTAGGAATTCATGCTCAGTAATGTAAGCTGGAGAGAAAGAAAGAGAAAGGAAGATTCTTATTTATGAAAGCATATATGTGCCTCAGCAACCACTATGCATATTATACCCTACTTCGCAAGACGTAACTGAATATTGCTTGCTGATGGGATGTAGTGAATATATGTTTTTTTCCTTTTTATTCTGTTCAGACTTTTATTTTTATTTTTATTTTCCTTCACTAAACAGTTCCTATCTTAGTTCTTTTCTCCATCTCATTTCCCACTCCTTGTCCCCTGAGAAGTGGGAGTAAGAAAGTGGCAATAAGGTACTTAACTGCCTGTCCGTATTAAATAAAAACACTCCATTAGGGTGTTAATCACCATACAGCTGCCCACTCACTCCCTTACAGTAAGATGGGGAAGAGAATAAGAGACTAAATGAATCACAAAATCAGAAAATGGTTGGGGTCAGAGTGGATGTCTGGAAGTCATCCAATCCAGCCCTCATACTCCAGCAGCGGCAGCTGGAGAAGCTTGCCCAGGAAAGACCATGTCCAGATTTTTTCTTAATATGTCCAAGGAGGTGTATTCCACTACCTTTCTAGGTGACTTGTAACAGGCTCCATCATCCAATCAGTAAAGAAGTGCTTCCTGATGATTAAACAGAATATCCTGTGTTTCAGCTTATACACCTTGCCTCTTGTCCCATTGCTGAGTACCACTCAAAAGATCGTGGCTTCATTCTCTTTGCATCCTCCCTTCAGGTGTCTGTAGAGATTGACCAAAACAATGTGATTCTGTGAATCTGTCATCTCCTGCAAGGCCTACTCTGATATCTCATGAAACAGGAGTAAATGAAAGTTATAATGGAGATGAAATTGCTGACATTGTCGCTGTCATTCAGGTAGCAAAGAGAGAGAAAGAAGGCAATACATACTCTAGAAGTCTGAACATTCTTGTTCTTAGAATATATGGAGGTGATAGACAGGAAATCTTTTAATTTAAAAAGGCAGTAGAAATGTCAGACAGTAAAGCATGATGTGTCTAGGCCATAAATTATAAGAGTACCAATCCCAGAGGAAACAAAATGAGTGGACAAAAAAATCACAACTATGAAGATCTCTCCCTATTTCAATAATATTAAGAGCTTCTCTAATTAATAAAATTGGCAGGGGAAGTATTTAGCAATATATAGGATTACATTAGGCACTTGCTTTTCTGTTATGACTATTCTTCTGAGATATTTTGAAGGACAAATGGTCTCTTGGGATAGAGTGCAAAGAATTTTTTCATACAATAATTTCTTTATGATTGTGACAGAAACACAGAAAATCTTCCCGCGTAGATGTATTTCCACTTGTAAGAGAAGTAAAGTTTCCACATGGCAAAACCAGTTTGAAGCATTTAGAAGACAGTATTGAAGAAGGACATTAAAGTATGTCACAGAGATGCATACATGGCCAGTGGAGGAACACAAGCTGAATCTGAAACTTCTCTTACATACCAACCAGCATATAGTGCATTTTTTTTTCCCTATACAGTTCTGTAATTCTTGCAGTTACACAGTGGTTAATTTAAGTTCTAACTACGTTGTTACAGAAATCAGAAGCTCTAGCCATTTTAAAGAAAGAGCTTCTACTATGAAAGCAAGCTATTATCATATTGTACTACCTTCTGTCAGTGACGTACTTAAAAAACTGTCTTTACTATCTTGCATAATTGCACTATGACCTTTACAGTGAATACTTTCTTATGCAGATAAATAGGTAGGCATTCTGTTACCACAAAATGTTCACGATCTTTCTAGCTTGCAGGTGAGCATCGCCAATTCTAATTGTGTCACTATTCTGCCTTACCCAAAACTACACTGTGATAAATGGATTGCAAGTTATGCTTCCTTAGAGAAAGCGAACCTGCTCTATATCAGAATATGAAATTTTGTTGTCAATACATTCATATGCATCTGCAAAAATACAATTTTATAACT